TGGCCATGCTGTGTCATTGCTTCCTGGTGTTCCCCTTGGGAAATCCATCACAGGCTCTTATCTTGTGTTTAGTCTGCAGGGTTTGGGAGGTAGGGACTTGTCCTTGCTGCTTAGTGGGTCGCAAAACCCCAGCACATGAAGTTCTGGTAGATGACTGATAGCCTGATGAGCAAGACTTAGAATAACGTCTCATGAATGTTTGCCAGAATAGAAGAATAAACTGCATTTTGTGTCAGGCCCTGCTGCATTTTACGCTGAACACATCTTACAAAGGCAAAGGATTTGCCTTTGTCCCTTTTGCAACTCTGTTCCTGCTGCACGGTGTTGCAAATCAAAGATGAATCTGACCCTGTACAGCGAAGTTTCTTAGTTTTTATAGACACATAGAATGTTTTGGGTTGGAAGAGACCTTAAAGATCATCTTGATCCAACACCCTGCCATGGGCAGGGACATGTTCCACTAGACCAGGTTGCTTCAATCCCTCAAATCTCCAAAGCCTTGGGAGGCAGCTGGCTTCTTCACCTGAACATGATTACAGAGAAGAAACTCTGCTGGAGGAATGAGATTTCTTTCATTACCCTAATGGTTTCTATCACAGCTGGATTTTTCTCTGTGGGATGCTTAGATCCATGAGACAAACTTCTTAGAAATGATTTAGACAAACAAATGAATTAAACGGAATTCAGAATGACAGTTCCCAACACTTGGGCATCTGCCAAGGAACTTTCAAAGCCAAAATAATAACTCAGATCTGAGAGATCCTGCAAAGCCTATAAATTAAGTAATCCTTTGGAAACCTGCAGCTAAAGTTGCCATAGGGTTGAGATTTGCCTGTACTTAATCCAAGTAAGGAGTTTCAAATTTAATTGTTCAGAGGATGTTGAGGCTTTGGAATTTTTTTTTTTTTTTTAACTATTAAGTAAAGGAATAAACTGGAACCCTTGAGAATCTGTTGTATGTGAATCCTCTTGGGATAGGAAGGCACCAGAAAGGACTCATTCAGGCAGTGGAAATAGAAATCAAGATTAAAAAAATCAAGGATTACTGATTAATGTAAGAAAGGAAAAGATATTGTATTCTGAGAAACTGCTGGGAGGGCAGATTGCACAAATGCCATGAAACATAGCTTGGAGTTCTTTACTCCCACGAGGATTTTGAATTCATACGATCAGCATCACTTTTAGAGACCTTTTCTAATAAAAAATATGAAGAGGAGTATCTAGCATTAAAAAATACAAATAATCATTCACAACAAATGATTTTCAAACAGAAACCATGAGCCTCTGACACAATTTTAACAGGAGTGTGTCTGTTGGTAAGGCCAACCCACAGGCTAATGGCTAGTTTGGTGCTTAAAGCTACTTTTAAATCATAGTACCACAGAATGGTTTGGGTTGGAAGCGATCTTAAAACTCATTCCTGTCCCCTGCCATGGGCAGGGGCACCTTCTATCATACCAGGTTGCTCCAAGACCCTTCCCACGTGGCCCTGAATACTTCCAGGGATGGATAACTCATGACTAACTTCAGCCACTGAAATGGCTCTAAGCAGAAACAGCCAGAGCCCTGACTGCAACTTGTACAAGCAAAAAAATTTCCTGACCTGGAGGAGAACTATCAAGCCGTAATGATGCTTTAAATCACTCTCATATGGAGAGATGTTCGAAAACAAAGCACTGAAGGGTCATTATCAGGACTCTCAGATAAACACAGACCTCTGCTAAATATTGGGAGGGTGGCAACGTGAAATGGAAAACGTGAATGTTCACTGAAAATGGGACACAAAGATCTGCAGTTTACCCAGTCGGTCTGTGATAACAAAGGAAGGAAACTGAGAGTGTCACCGGTGGTGAAGTAGAGCCTGAATGGAAGAGTCAAAAACAGAAACAAAGAGGTGATAAGTCTCTGGGGTGGAAAAATACTGGAAACAAATATCAAGGAAAATATCGGGGAGGGGAAGGATAAAGTGAACAGAGTGATGAGGTTGAATTCATGAACATGTTTGACCTTTGAATAATGCATGGTCTTTGTTAGAGCTCGCTGTAGGGCTTCAGCACTCAGCTGAAGAATGAGCACACTGGCAATACTGTATTTCAGCTGGATGTTGAGGCTTGCTCCCACAGCAAGTTTCAGCTGCTGTTGGTCCTGTTAATTTCTCTTAATTAGTTCCAATTAGGTTTTAGACATTACCTGAAATAGAAATGAAAAATTCTCACTGAGCAATCTGTTCTAGAGGAATGTGTCCCTGTTGGGGGGGTTGGAATAAGTTGATCTTTAAGGTCTCATCCAACCTAAGTCATTCAGTGATTCTATGATTCTGTCAAAGACAAAACCAGAAATTTATGGTGGCACTTTAGGTGGTTGAAGTGAGAGCTGACTGGGTCCTTTGTAGACTGCAGAGTCATGTTTGCTTTGCTCAGAAAAAGCACATATGAAAAGGTGCGTGAGCAGCTGAGAGAACACGGGGCACCTGTGAACCATGGACCTGTTTAGCTAATGCTTTCATTCCCTGCATCCTGGGGAAATACATCTATGACAGAGGGGTGCAAAATTAGTTCCTGATACAGTTCTGAATCCTGAGAGCTGCTCTGCATGTGAACACTTTCCATCAGGAGCAATTCAAATGCATATAGTTTCCTTTATAGTAAAACTGCCTCTACTTCACACAGTGTAGTGTATTCCAGAATATAGTCTCATTTGGAATAAACACTCACACATTTATACCAATTTGGATAATTTTGTTCTACTTGGGTTAAGTTTTAGATGAGGCATCAGTTCCATAAGGAGTGATCTGGGCTGAGCATTAAAAAAGCCTTGAAGAGAAAGTGCCTCGGAGCCAGCAGTTTCCTGTCTGCTTTTGAAATGAATACTCTAATGGAGGGGATTTCTGTATTTTGATCATCTTTTGCCTCTGCCAGCAAATTACTTGGAACCCCTGAAGCTTTGCTGCACAGCAGAGCTGCCCTTCACAGCCGGGTGCAGTTCAGAACCTACCCAGGGAATGGAGCTCCAGCAAATGGCAGTGGGAAATGTTTGACTACAGAACTGTGGGTTTAGTTTTTCCCCTTTTTTCCCATATCTCTGGTTTATTGTTGCTACTTTCCAGTAAACTTAGTGCCCTTCCCAGAAAGAATTTTTTTCATTCCCCTCCTAAGAGGAAGGAGATGCCATTGCTGACATGCTGCATTTGTGCACATTTTAAACTCTGTCCTTCAGAGAATCCTCTTCATCACTGAACAGCGAGAGCAGGAGAGGTGGGACACAACCAGTCCTCCAGCTCTCTGTGAGAGGAATTTCACTGTTTGGCTGGGTGGATTTTCTAACACAAGCAAGAAACCTCAGACCAGCCTACTCCCAGGCTTCTGCAAGCTGGGTGATATCATGCAGGAGTAAGGAGGTATGATTCATCACCCAGACAAAAGTCAGCCTGTGTAGCCTCTGTTGGTGAAGGCAGGCGCTTGTGAGGAACAAAGAGTAGGGGAAAGCTCTGCTGGTATTGGCTGCAGCTGGACCTCTCCTCTGCAGACACCTTTCCAGCAAAGCAAACCAAGTTTATTGTGTTTCAGGTTTGTGACACAGCATGCAGACTGTACTCATGCTGCTATATCCCAAAGCTGCAGGACAGCTCAGGAGCCTATTTAAAAGTCACAGCTGTGACCCCTGTCCCAGACCAAAGCCCAGAAAATGGGCACAGCAATGAGCCAGTCACACAAACCTTCCCATGTCACAAGCAAAGAGCATTCACAGCAAATGGCACATAAATCAATATTGCAGAAACCAGGCAGTGAGAAGGTGCTCAATGAAACTGGACTTTTTAAACAATGAATCCTTTGTTAGGTCCCTCTTTTTCAAGTGGGAAATTCTGGTCCTGCCCTTTCCAGGAAGAAAAGGAATACAGACATTTGGAGATTTTTTTTTTTCTCAGCTTCTGGGGGACATGTTTTGCAGTTCTGCTGACCACCTACCCCACCTGCAACCCACCACTCTGTGCCTGCAAACCATCCCATCAAACACTCACTGGCAGCATGGGCATCTCCATGTGCTCCAACAGTCACTGATCCAGCTGTACCACCAGGAAACAGATCCTCTGCAGTGCCAGGTGCTGCTCCAGAGACCCCTCAAGGACACAGTAATGTTGGGGTACAATGGCTATGAAGATGTTCTGAGCACCTCTGCTGTGGGGACAGACTGATATGTGGGAGCATCCAGCCTGAAGAAGAGAAGGCTCTGGGGACAACTGAGAGCCTCTTCCAGTGCCTAAAGGGGCTCCAGGAGAGCTGGAGAGGGACTTGGAGCATGGAGAGACAGAACAAGGGGGAATGGCTTCAAGCCGACAGAGGGCAGGGGTAGATTGGATATTAGGAAGAAGTTCCTCCCTGTGAGGGTGCTGAGGCTCTGGCACAGGGAGCCCAGAGCAGCTGTGGCTGCCCCATCCCTGGGAGTGTCCAAGGCCAGGTTGGATGGGGCTTGGAGCAACCTGGGACAGTGGAAGGTGTCCCTGCCCACAGCGGGAGGTTGGACTGAGATGACATTTCAGGCTCATCCCAAACGAAACCACTCTGTGATTCTGTGATTATTTTCTTGGAAGTTTATCTTTTTCCCAGGCGATGACCATGAAAGATTCACAAACTGCTTTAAGCCAAATCTGATTATTTCCTTTAACTTTTTTCTCATTCGGGAGACTTATTATAATGAATAAAACAGTCACAACCAAACATTTACTGACCTATTGCATCATTTTCCTTGCACTGCAGGGGATGAAACTGCAGTGAGGGGAGCTTTGAGCACACCAAACACATTCTTTACCACCAGTAAAGTACTGCAACTTTACCACTGCGAGTAGTCGCTCCGAATCCCACTTATAAAAGGACCCAGGGGGAAATCCGTGCCGGAGCTCCCTCAGCCGGGCCGGGCCCGTGCCTCCTCCGCGGCCCGCCCTGAGGGCGGGGTGTGCGGGAGGCGGGATCGCTCCGTGCCGGCGCTCGGGAGCCGGAGCTGCCTCAGTCCGCGGGCAGGGAGCGCCCGCCGCCGCCGCTATGGCCCACTCGGTGGTCCTGCGTGGCCCTTCTCCCTGGGGCTTTCGTCTGGTGGGCGGTAAAGATTTCAGCGCCCCGCTGACCATCTCCAGGGTGAGCTGGGAGGGGTTCGGGAGCGGCCGCAGGTGATGGGCGGCGGGGCGGGTGGTACCCGGAGCGGCGGGCTCTGCCGGGCCCGGCGGGCAGCAGCGCTTCGGCTCTTTTCAACTCCAGTTTATTCTGTATGCACTCGAATAAGTGCTCCCCTCTGAGCTTTGCACTGTTTCAGCTGCTTTCTTCAGTGTTACAGCCTTCTCCATGCTTTATTTTTTTGGATGTTAATTCATAAGGATCTGCTTTCAAAGTTTTTAGTGTTCACAGGGTTTGGATTCGTGCCCTGGACTGAGTTCACAGGCTGTTGGGGTTTTTAAAGAAGACATGAGTTAAGTCAGCAAGAAGTTTCTCTATGCAGGCTGCAGTGTTCTGGGGTCTATGTGGGCTGGTAATAATTACCGTGTAAGTGTACTCACACTTGTGTTTGACCTCACAAATATGTATTCTGGAAAATTCTTTGCTAAGATGCCACAGACAGATTGAAATAGGCTTTGTGTGTAGATACATGTGAGAACAAACCATCCCCCAGGCAGGAGGGCTCGCGGCGAGGTGCTCTGATGGGCCGTGTGATGGATGAGGTGCTGGCTGTGAGCTGGGCACACTCCTTGGGACACTCGGTTTCCATGGCCCGGGAGAGGGCTGGGTGCCCTGAGCTGCTTCGCCTCCCCGGCGTGTCGGGCTCTGCAGCACCGCCGGGCTCCCCTGGGCAGCTGCTGCTCGATTTCTGGAACAAACACTGAGTGCATTTGAAAGGAGCTGTAACTTAAAAATTCTGTAACTTAAAAATACTGTTGTAATGCGCACAAGCTGTTTGCCGTCTTTTCAGTCATCTGCCAAAGCTGTGACAAAAAAGAGAAAACGTACCCTGAGTTTCGAAGAAGTAATTATGGAAGAGAGTGTGTTTTACGGGGTTTAGTTTGTCTTTGAGTGCAAGCATGTCTATTGCATGGCTTTGTTTCTGTTTTTACTTTGGCCTGTCCCTTTCCAAGTGCTCCAGTGAGGGCTGTTTTGGAGGAGAACAGGAGGAGGTGGATGGAGGAGAGGGAAGGTGGAGCTGGCTGTGCAGCACGCAGGGCGGGTGTCCATACAGCTGGAGGGCTGTGCTGTGACAGGGGCACTCGGCTTTGGGGGTTCAGCCTGAACCTCCTGGACATGGAGAGTTCTGTTTCTCCCTGGTAACGTGGGATGTATAAAAAAATCACCTCCTAGCAATTGTAGAAATGTTCTTGTTGTAGAAGTGAATATCTGAACTTAGTGGAGGGAGCCAGTTTTCCTGTTACTTTAAAAAAAACCAAACTGGTTTAATATTAAACAAGAAAAACCTAAGTCTGCTTCTGCCTAGATAGGTGGCTTGCCAAATTTCTTGTTTGATTCAGCAAACCTGGGAGGTGTGAGGAGGATGATTCTCCTCAGACCAGTCTTGCTGTGGATCACCAAGAGTTGTAATGCAAGAAGCAGATGTAGGGTGTTATTCCATCTGGCAGCCTTTTAAATTGGATCCTTTTTTAATTCTGTTCCCACTGAGGAGCGGGCTGATGCTCTGATGTGCTGTACTCTAACGGCTGCTCCTGGAGGGTGGGAAACAAATGACTAGGATGTAAATAGAGATGTAGAGTGGTCTGCTTTGGCTCTAGTCTCTAAACACAAGAAAAGACCTGACTTGCTTTGCAAATAGTACCTGAAAATGTTAAAGCTGGGGAAGAATTATCTTCTGCTACAGCTCCTGGCTGTGGGGATGCAGGAAGGGGCTGCTGGAGGGCTCCCTGGGCAGCCTGGGCTTTGCTTGGTCTGTGCAACCCTGCTGCTGTGCAGGGGACTGATCGTGGCTGTTGTGGTGCTATATTCCCTTTTATTCTGTAATTGTCCAGGAAATCTGTTCTTTCTGGCTTTAAATCTTGGCAAGGGGGCTGGGGGCTTCCCAACTCCAGGAATGAGAAGCCTCCCCCCGCTTTGCCCAGCCTGGCTCACAGCAGGAGACTCTTGCTAATTGTGGAGGCTTTTGGCCGACTTCTGCTTCCCTTCAAAGTGCCTTTCTTCTTTAATTTCAGTTTCATTTGTTTTATACTCGAATGCCATTAAATTGCAAACATCTTTGGAAAAGCAGAAGTTCTGCCGGGAGGCAGGACCACACTCTGGGATTCCCACATCCAGCTGTGGGCCCAAGATGCCAACATGTTCTGGGTGTGCTGGGCTGCCTGGGGGGTGTGGGATTGCTGTGTCCCACTGCTTGGCCCAAAGGGGGCTGAGGATCAACGTGTCACAAGGTGTTTGGGCTGTACAGCTCTGCAGGCATCCTACCTGGACTGGTTATGTTGGGAAATCAGGTTGCAGGTTGGGATTTTAGGCATCCAAGGCCACCCACATTCAGCTCTGGGTGCTGGAGGCTGGAAATACTGAAAGGAGCTGCCAGGGTGAGCTGAGGAAGAGGCAGAGTGGTGCAGGGCAGGGAGGTGTCAGGCAGGGGACAAAGCTGAAGGTGGTCCACAAAAGTGTCTTCTGATAATATTGTCAAGAGATAAATGACATTATATGGATTTGGTAGCATGGAACGTGACAATGACCCTGTCCTGCTTTGGGATGGAACTTGCCTCGCTCACAAAGGTTTACTTTGGCCTTTAGCCCCTGTGAGGTGGCTGTGGCTGTGCAGGTGCTGATGGTATTCAGTCTGTCTCTTGCAGCTGTCTCAAATAGGCTCATGACATTAAGCAATGGTCTTTTTGTCTTGAAAACAGGTCACTTCCCTCCGTGATTTGATAAGTCTTAAGTGACAAGGGGTAAGGATCTGATTGCTCTGCTGAGCAGCTGATGCTGAACTCTGCCCTGGAGAGGCCAGGGCTCCAGGTGGGATGTTGAGTTCCTTGGTATTAAGATAAATGTAAATCCAAAAGGGCATGCTTAGGGCATCTCTCATACAGTCCCACAAAAAGTTAGGTGTGCTATAGCTACCGTTTTATCCTGTTTCTTCTTGTATATTCAGCAGGACCCATATTATCAAGGCTGGAGTTTGCTGGGCTGGTTTGAGGGCATGCAGCCCTGGAGGGTGATACTGGTGTGTTGTCAGCACAGGGCTCAGTTTGTTTTATACCCACTGTTACAGTGAGCTAACACCAGGTGTAGGACATGACATCATTAATGGTTACTCCTCCTAATGATATTTATGGGGGTAGAAATGATCCAAAAGATCTGCTTTGAGTTGACCTTAATGACTTGATAGAAAGTGGTTTTAAGATTTAATTAAATTTCTGGTAGCTGCTTTTCCTTGGTTGAGCAGGCTAATGCTGGGTGCTGTGTTTGCTCTCTGTGGGAAAGGGGGCTCCCTGTGGCTCTGACTCCAGTGACAACATTCCCTTTGACCAGCAGCCATGGCTCAGGAGCAGCAATGGAATAACTCACTTGGCTGTTCTCAGTGTTGTGCTTGTAACCACATCAGTGAGTGCTGTGGTTCTGTGTGGGATCACAGTTGATCTACCCCTTGCCTGGGATTAAAAGATAATCAGTCATTAGCGTAACTAGAGGAGCTGAATGCATTTAATCATTTGAACTTGCTTGTCCTGCTCCTGGAGCAGCTGATGTCATCATCTGCCCAGTTCTGCCAGTGTTAATCCATGCACTTGCTGTTTTTGTAATCATAGATAAATTACTTAGCTAAACAGATAATTGACAAATGGACCAATTCCAGTCATTTTTAAATGAGATTTTAATACAATTTTTCCTTTATCTGTTGGCTTCAACATTAGTTTACCCGCTGGTCTCTAGTGGAGCAGCAAAAATGCAGGTTTCAGCTTTGGCTTGGAACTGTAACACAAGAAGGATGAGAAATAATTGGTCTGCAATCCATTATCCAGGTATTGTTTGAGTTAAGGTTGACTTTTAAAGTTAAGCAGCTTTCACATTTGAGCAGAGACGTGTCCTGTTAAAGGTTAGGATACTCGAGAAAGAATTCTGCTGAGGAAGGAATTCCAGTAAAAGTGATTTTGTTGACTCTGTCAGGGCAGCCAGCAAATGCCCAAGTCTGTGCTGTGATCCTGTGTGAATGCAGAGAGAGCCCTCTCCATGCTGTAATTCCTGGGGAGGCCTGGGAGGTTTGTTCTTGTGTGGGTGGGATGGCTGAGCAGAAGGGGCTCCCCAGAGCTAGGGCTGGGAGTAACAGGTTTGGTTACCCCAGGAACTCCACATGTCTTGCTGTAGAAGGCAAGGATCAGAGACGGCAGCAAAAGGAACAGGAATTTTGTCTCTGTTTGAGATGTTAGGAGGATTTAAATTTCCATAAGGTGGGGTTTTTGTTTCATATAGTTCTTATGTATTTGATAGTTTATTAGATGGAAATTTTGCACTCTCTGTTCAGAGTTTCCAAATGGACTGAAGAAGCCTCTCTGTGTTGCTGAATCCCAAAGCTGTGGCCCCACCTGATTTCTGCTGACTTTTGGTGGTTTGCTGCCTGTGTAGAGCTGAGTGATGAAAGCTGTCCCTCGGTTGGTTGCATAGTGAAGTTGTTACAGTATTTCAAGTGGGATGATTATTTGAAGTGGAAGGAAATACTTTTACTAGTCAGTTTTTGTTTTTCTCATCATTCCTATAAACTCAGGGCTGAGAGGTCTGGGTGTTTAAGTGTGAAAGCTGTGCTGGTACAGAACAGTTAATCTGAGCTACAGATAAGAACTAACAGAAATATGTCACAAATAGATTTGCTGCTGAAGTGTTTCTATCGCTGAGGCTTTAATAACTGAAAGAGAAGAATAAATGCTTGTGCTGGTTCAGGAGACAGTAATGGTGGAACATACTGGAATGAAAACCTAATACTAATTACCGTAATTAAGCACCCTGATAATCCCGAGTGGGAAAGCAGGTGGAAAGAATGATTCATGTAGATCCATTTAGGCAGGGTCTGACCTTGGGCCAAGTTAACAAAATAAACCCAGAACAGCCATAAAAACACACCAGGTCTCTGCCAGGCTGGACAAAGCAGCGTAGGTTCAGTGTCCCTGCGTATTTGGGATTAG